GAGAGGTTTTTGCTATAGGGTGCGTGTGCTCGCCAGACAGACAGAGAGAGACAGAGAGATAGAAAGCGAGAAATCACCCCCCCCAGAGGGGATGGCCATGCCGCAATCCCTTCTCCTCCATTATCATCTCAGGATCTTGGGCATGCACGCACACACGCCCGGCATGAATTTAAGCCACCGAGTCCGGGACTCGAACCACAGTCGACTACTTGGGAGTTCAGCAACATAGCCATTATGCTAACTGCTGGTCCCTCTGTTCTGTTTTGATCCCTTTGTGCAGCAGATTCAGTAAATATTGAGGAATTATATTATGAATAGTATTTGAATGTTTGGCTATACTTCCCTTAGATCTGTCTAGAAACACAGTGAATGGAGACTGAAAATCAGAGAGATGAGCTAAAAGAAAAAGAAAAGGAAACACAGAGAGAGAAACAACAGCAACAACAACAACTAAAAACAGAGAAAAGGAAAAGAAAAAATTTTAACTAAAAAAATTATTATTTTTATAAAAAAGGGCAAAAATTAGAAAACCACACAGCGCGCAAGTGTGCCACATGAAGTCACCACTTATCAGAAGCCATGAAGGTGTTTTCTTCTGAAGGCCTGTCCCCTTGCCTCTCCTGGGTTGAGAGGGGAACACGGGATTATTAACAAGATAAAGGGAAAGGAGGGGCTGAAAGCTGAGAAAAGACTTTACCTTAAAAAAATTTTTAAAGGAAAAATTACCAAAAAATGAGAAGACAGAGACAGAGAGAGACAGAGGGAGAGGCAGAGGCAGAGAAAAAGCTCAAGGGACCTCCTACCACTCAAGTTTGTGGGCTGGAGGCTGAATTAGCAGTAGAAAAATCTTCATTTCTTTTTTTCCCTAAATCACTAGTTCTCAGGAGCCGTGAAGGTGTCTTCTTCTAAGGCCTGTCCCCTTGCCTCTCCTCCCTGCCTCAGTATTTCTTGTACTAAAGAGGTGATGTTCTTTTTTGTCAAGGCTAATCTTTTCAAGATTAATTCTGTGTCTCAAACTTTTTCCTTCTCTCATACCTTCCTCCCCTCTCT